TTAGCAAGGGGAATCTGCAGCTAATATGTAAGTGCAGAGCTCTCATGAGCCTGCCCATTAGAACATAGTAACAGCCATACTGCACCAGACCAATGCTCCATCTAGCCCAGTATCCTGTCTCCTGACCATGGCTGGTGCCAGCTGCTTCAGAGGGAATGAATAGAGCAGGACAATTTACCAAGTGAGCCATTCCTCTCCCAGCTTCCGGCAGCCCGAGCTTTGGGGAACCCAGAACATAGAGTTGTGTCCCTGATCCTCCTGGGTAATAGCCATCGATAGACCTGTCCTCAGTGAATTTATCTTACTTTTTAAATCCAGGTATGGTTTTGGCCTTCACAATGTACCCAGGCAGCCAGTACCACAGGCTGATTGTGCTTTGTGTGAACTACACCCTTTTATTTGTTTTAAACAACTGTCTTTCAATGGCATTGTGTGACTGTTGGTTCTTGCATTATGGGAATGAATGACACTTCCTGATTCACTGTCTCCGCACCGTTCAGGATTTTATAGCCCTCCATCATATTCTCCTTCTGTTGCCCCTTTTCTAAACTCCAGTCTTTTTAATCTCTCCTCATATGGACACGGTTCCATCTTCTTAATCATTTTTATTGCCCTTCTCTGTACTTTTTCCAATTCTGAGATGGGATGGATTGAGCTGCATACAGTTTTTCATGTGTAGGAGTACCATGGATTTATATAGAGGCATTATGATATTTATTGTCATCTTATTATCTATCCCTTTCCTTGTGGTTCATACCATTTTGTTAGCTTTTTTCTCTGATGCTGCACATTGAGCAGATGTTTTCAGAATCTGAGGACTCCAGGATCTCTTTAACTTTCCTTCTTATCCCAGGACTCTTATTTTGCTTAAGTGCCTTAGCTGAGGGACATTGTCAAAGGCTTTCTGAAAGTCCAAGTACATTTCCATTTTTACCCCCTCAAAGAATTCGTGTAGAGAGATGAGGCATGATTTCCCTTTACAGAAGCCCCAACGCACCGTCTTCATCTCTGTCTGATAATTCTGTTCTTTACTATAGTTTCAACCAATTTGTCTGGTACTGAGGTTAAAGCTACCTGGCCTGAAATTACTAGGATCGCCACTGGAACCTTCTTTAAATACCACCTGTCTTGACTTTTTTGGCAAAAAGGGATATTTGTCCTGAGTGATCAGCAGACAAGAGCAAACAGGACCAAAGCTCATTTTTGGGGGAGAGGAATGTGTGGGGGTGAGAGGAGATGCTGACCTTGTGGGTGCAAGAGTTGGGGAGCAGAGGTTGGGGGCAGGCAGGGGTCCATCCAGCAGCGACCCCAGCCCAGCCGTGCTTAGGGGGCAGGCAGCCTTGGGCACAGCGA